TCTGGAGAGGGCTAGTGAGAAACATCTACAAAGGTCTTAACTCTGACTTTTAGCCTCCTCTTAGCCCTGTGCAATTCCTAATAAAGCTCAAGAGTTTCAGCAGCAGTGGAAGAGGGACAAATTAAGGGTATTAGTTACTGACATCCTGTAGTTGATACTGGACATACAGTGTATTGTATTTAGTGGCTACAGTCTCTAGGTTGGACAAATCATCATAAATCTAGGACTTTGATTTTTCTCTTCGAAGTCCATAATACAAATGCCATTTGATAGAAAGACCATTTGGGAAATAAATTGTTGAGCCATTCACACCCTAAAGGCCTTCAGGACAATTCTTTTGGGATTTCTGACATTTTAAATAACAAGATTTAACAAGACAAAGCAACCTTTTTTTATAACTCATCACTGCTCAAATGGCAAGCAGTACCTATAGGGTGTTTCCAAGTTTTAAAAGCTCTGTGGTTCAGTTCAGAGGGGCCTGAAGCCCATGCTGTCTTGGACCAGTGGCTCTTAGATGCCATTATGTTCTCTGTTGACTACCTGTGCAGCCACAAATAAATAAGAACGAACCCAAGGAAATAAGCTAAATACCTGTCTAAGTGAACTAATTGTTTGTCTTGACACAATGGAAAACCTACGTTTTATTTCTTCGTGTTTTTCCATCAAGTAGCTCCAGCTAGTTTTTCAAGTTGAAGTGCAGTGAACTATCTCTAAAACTTTCTGTAAGGTGGTGAGTGGATGGGAAGAATAGAAGGGCATCCCTGTGTGACTTGGAACCCCCATCCCCTAGCATAAGGTAAATTTTTTTTAAATCCATCTTCTAGAAAGAAATCCTTTTTTATAGACATCATTTATAAAAACAAATTAGAAGAGTGTGTGGCACATAGTGTATTGTGTTCTTTTTTTTTTTTTTTTTTTTGATGGAGTTTCTCTTGAAATACAATTCATGTGTAAGTATTTTCCTCAAATTCCCACAGATTTTTTTTAAACATTCAGTACAATCAAAATATTTAATAATCACTTCTGGGAACCTTACAGATCTAGAGAGGGTAAGATTTAGTATGGCAAAGGGGGTGTTTCCAGGTATGGTCGTGGACTATGAGAGTAGCGTATTACTGAAAGGAGTTACGTGGAGACGTTCTGGAATCTCCATGCTTGGAATTTTCAGGGCTCAACTAGCCAGAGCCTGTGACACAGTGCTGACAGCAGTGATGACTTGAGAAAGAGATGGTACTTCATGTTCTCCTAAGGTCCTGCCAACCTCAATTCCTGCGGTTCTGTGATTGGGCCATACACTTCTAGTACTTGGGACAGTGTCCCTTTTCAGTACATCCTTTTGTAACCCTGTCTATACTTTCATACATTTTTTTTCTCTTAAGGTTTGTGATCAGATTTTGTGAGAAGGAGGGGTGTTTTTGTGTCACTGCTTATTTCATAAGTTATCTTGCTTCTCTGTCAACTGAACCCTGTTTGTGTCACACAGTGGCATGTGTTTATATACGTGTGTTTAACTGAGAGGAGTACATTGCTCACTACAGTAACTGCAAGTCTTGCAGATACATTGCCTGTAGACAATGTTGCACTCTTCCTTTCTTTTTCACTAGCATCTTACATATACTACATTTCTGCAGTTAAGGGCATAGTTGGTAGCATCACGTGAACATTGATCTTCTATTATTTTGTTGTCAACTATGAATTGCAGTGATATTTTTGACTTCTGCTTAGGTAAACGATACCTTACAATAAGGTCCTTAGCTGAATGTGTACTCAGATTGGAATAGACATTTGAACAGTGCATTTCAGATGATGCAATAATTCCAAGTAAATAAAAAACAAGCCCACAATGTTTTGAAATAATTTTATATGTATAAATAATAATGAAGTTTTAAGCTTAATGTTTCAATATAGTATCTTGAATTCTTGATCCTTCTACAAATCAATTGTTTAATCTATTTTAGGAAATCTTCTTATGATAAGAATGTCTACATTAGCTTTGTATATGTTGTTCTACAAGAAATTTTTTAAATATTCTAAGATCTGTAACTGCATTCGTTTCATATTAGTTCTTTACTTCTGCAATTTAACCATCAGTTTTGATTGAAAACTACTGTGGAGATGCTGTTATTCCAGCTTTATACACTACTTACTATCACACTTTACCATTGAGTGAGGTGAATAACACCAACTTCAAACAAAAAATAAACTCAGGTGGTTTAGGTTGCTGTAAATTTACTTATAAGTATTTCAAGATTAGCTTCTTTTCAATGAGCTTATTCAGGATAGAGTTGTGCCCCATAGAAATCACTAGTTTATTTTTCTTGCTGTTTGTTGAGGTGACATTTCACGTTTTGTTCTTAAGTTTATAAAAACTATGCTAAAGACTCCTTCAATATGTGTTGGAATTTACTTGACAGCTTAGAACAAGCCAAATACAATATATCTGCTCCCTTTTTGTCCCAGAAGATATTTTTGTTTAGCAACCATTATTTGCTGAATTTATTTTAAGTTCTCAGGGAATTTTTAAAGTGATAGCCATCTGCCCTCCTTCCCTGTTCTCCCCAACCCTATTTTTTAAAAAATACCCAGGGCCTCTGGAAATGACACAAAATTTACTGAAAAGGAATTGTTATTATATACAGAAATCTCAGATTAGCTCTTTTCCCTAAGTTTAATTGAATTTCAAGATCATTTTTGCGTGGAAAATATAACTAGTTTACAGTATCATTGCTTAACTTGATCTGAGATCTACTTAGAGTGCCATAATGAAACAACATTTGCCCATGGATTTTGGTCATTTTATACTCCAGTGATTCCTCATCACTTTAGCAATTATTTGTTTTTAAAGGACAATCCCAGAGAATTTCTGTTAGCTGTCATCTGTTCTGTGGGTCTGACATAAGTAATGTTCCAGCTGTGAAACATTTTGTTCTGTCACCCATTCTGTGTTTACTTTTCCTGTTTGTTCTCTTGTTCACCCAATAACATTGAATGCTGTTTAACTTTGAGACCACTCAGTGGCTTCTCCACATACCTGTGCTTAAGGACATTGGTTTTGCTTCAGGATTGTTGGCAATTTTCTCATCATGACACTTTAGGTTTACCTTCTTACATATTTTATTTCTTTTGTTATATCCCTACAGTAAGGCTGATTTCAAATCCACTAAATTAGGGTATTGGGAGATGTCAGAAGTACAGTATGTTCAAGCACATACTCGTGAATGCTCAAAACATACCACACAGGATTTGGGAAATGGGGAAAATAGTCTATGATGAAATATTAATTGAAGCCGAGGGAGACAATGTAGTTTTCTGAACTGGTTTCCTGAAAGGTTTAGAGCCCTCATAAAAAGGCTAGAGGTTCAGGACTTCAAGTAAGAAAGAATTCAAGACATGCTGATGATGATTAAAAAGAATTAGTGAAGAAATAAGTAGGTAAATTGGAAATTAAAACACTTTGATAAACATTAGACATGTCAGACAGAATACTTAAAAATGTGCATGAAGTATCTTTTGATAGCGGATGAATGAGTAAGAGCGATGAAAGAGTTTTCCTCCCCTCTGGATGTTACCTAATTTGAGAAGCTTTGGAATATTATGCCAGTGGCACTAACTAAATTAAATTGTGTATTTATATTGGATAACATTCTAGTATTATAGTGGAACATTTTTTTTCAGATTATGAGTAATGGGCATGAGCTGATTATGAAACTATACATTGTCCTGATTTGTCCATTGGCTTTTCTTGTATTTTCAATATTTAAACCTGAAGATTAAAAGACTAAAGCGCTTCATTATTACAATGAAGAAAAACTACACCATGAATTGATGTGCTCCGTTGGTCAGGTCTGGAGAATGCTTAAGTAAATGAAAGTTTATCCTGGGGATGATTTCTAATGCATTTATGCATTATGTCAAAGAAACAGGGATTAAAGAAGTTCTGTCCCCAAGACTGAGCACTTTTGCATATGTATTTCCAAGGAATAGTTGATCTGCGTGCTTTGTAGATTTAAGTGTGTTTATAAAATAGAGGCCTAAATTGTTGCTACTGTTTTGGTAAAAAATGTTACTCCTTAGAACTTCTGTCACATCTTTCAGATTCTGCACTTTTAAATCAGTAAGATTTTCAACCATTTGAAAATTAAGCACTGGGAATCCTAAAATAGATTGTGTCACAAATTCTATATTCAGAAGTCTTGTTGCTTTTTTGGTAAGCAAATTTTAATTAAACAGGGATGTATCAAAACAGCCAGGTTGAGATTTCTGGATACAGAGTCATGCAGTGAGTGCATTGACATATATATATATATAAGTGCAGGGAACAATAAGACTAGACTAGATTCTTGAAGGAGTGTTTCAGACTTTGAACAGTCTTTTTTATACGGTAGCAGATACACAACTAAATCAGCAGGATACAGGGGACCTGCCATGTGCAGGGCAGTAGACATATGAGTAATTGTGAAAGCTGTATTCATAATTCAAGGGATGAAAGCTGGTCACTGTTTGCTTTATAGAAAAAAAAATAGCTCCTAGATCTGGTATTTTCTTTTTCAGTTCTATAATATCAGGAAATGAGGCTATTGTGAGAGGCAGGAAACAGGAATCCATAATAACTTTGCCATCTCTCTACTGTGTGACCCCTAAAAACTAATTTCTCTTGTGCCACAGTTTCCCCATCTGTAAAAGCAATCCTGATGTGTTCCCCACACTAACATTTTGAGATCTGTGAATAAAATACTTTGCACTGTTGTTGTGTATTTCCAGGTAGGTATTAGTCTGCCTCTTGAAAAATATTTTTGTGTTAGATTGTATTTTCTGCTTATTCACTTTGTTTTCATGTTAGTGTTAATTTCCTTTTTTTTGTTTTGTTCTTATTTTGACTCCATTCTCCTAGTAGGACCAGGCCGATAAATGATCAATGGTGCATTCTTTATGCACATGATAAAAAGGAAACATATATTTTGATCCACTGCGACCATATTTTTCTTCATATTTTGTTACAGATCAGGGAATACAATGGACAGATGCAGGGAATTACCAGTGTGGGATTTGCATCCCTGACATTTGATGGAACTGTAGGTGCACCAGTAGTTCCTCGAACCTCTAGCAAAGTGTACACTTTCATGGATGAAGAACAGAAAATAGTAGAAGAACTACGTGTTTGGGCAGCCAGTAATCTTTCTGTCTGTGGACCAGCAGCAAAATTATCTGGTGTTCAGCCAATGCTGTTCTTTGATCTCACTTGCCAGCTGGTAGGAAAAGCGAAAGTGGATGGATCTTCTTTTCTTCTAAAGGTAGATTTTTTTTTTTTTTAAAAATAATCTGTTACATTCATTTATTAAGACATTGTCATCAGTTTTTGATAAAATAGGAAGATTCATCTCTTTAAATAATGTTATGTAGATAAGTATTTCAAGGTTAAGTGAATTTATCATCCTTGACCATTTTATTGCAAATAAATAACCATTTTATATGGATATAAAACAGAAATCCCAGTTCTCTTAAAAGTTGCTCATTTGATTTATTTCTTTACAGAGGTTTCGTAAGATGACATTGGTATAGATCATCATTTCACAAACATTTGTAAATAACTGTCGCAAGATTTCTTAAAGTTCAAAAATACTGTTAGTTTTAAATTTTAACCTTGTTTTTTAGTTAGCAGCAATTACTGCTCATTTTTCTAGATTGCTGGATTAATGCAGTAAGTAGCACTATCTAGAAGATTAATGAATGGATTATGTTATTTAGCTTGATGGATTTTAGGTAGCTTCTTTTAGTTGTATATAAGTGCTTTGTGGATCAGTGCTCATTGAAAGTACAAAATGCAAAGTGCCACACAACAGGAGAGTACTTTCCAAGGGTGATCCCTAATATCGACTAAATGAAAAGGAAGTCTGCATAATTTTCCTGGGTTCAGCTTCAGATGTATCAGTCTGGTGTTATTCTGAAATTCCTCCATATTTCTTTTTCTAAGTTGATTGTTAAAATGTGAGTGATGAGCAGTCTGCTGTTTTCCATTTTATGACTTAACATTATGACATAACAGTATTGATTCTATTGTATTAAGTTTCATTGTTACATTTTTAGAAATGTCACACTGCCTTATTCCCTCATTAAAGCAGAAAAGGTTTTTCTCTTGCAAAACAATGGATGCATTACACAGAAACAAACCTTAAGTGTCATCATATAATATGTTTTGCAACTGTTACAAATATTTGCATTTAATTATCCCTTGAGAAATAGATGTCAAATGAGACCCCATAAAATTTCAGAACTTTGTGAACCCTAAGTTGTTCATTAATAAGTATATGTTCAGTATTGAAGGACCCTTTGAAAGGACAGAGACAGGTATTAAATTTTTAATATTTCTCTACAGTCTTCTATGTTGTAATATCTGAAGTTGATTCTGTCAGTTTCGTATAGCAAAGACTTGGGGGCAAAACCTAGGATAGACTTAGGGAGGTAAAAGTTTGAAATCAAATAACACTAGATCAGTTTTTCTGATATGTAATTCCTTTGACAGTATATTTTTTTTAGTAGTATAAAATATTAAATACTTAAATCCATAATTAAAATACATCAGACAAGGTTAAAAATGGTAGATTAATGTTGGTATGCTGTTGCCAATTTCCTCCATTTTTCAAGCATGACAGAATTCCTTTTGCATATCAAATGTTGGTCATGATAGAAGAGAAGCCTTTTTAAAAACTTCTAGACAGATTTTCGATTATTTTGTGGATTCACTAAACAGCAAAGAAAACCGAGCAAATTCAATGTCAGCTCAAATAGAGTGGTCGTTAAATATTACTATTATATTATTTTGGTTCTACATTTTATAATACTGATTTAAATTTATCATGTCATTCCAAGTAGATCACTTATATTAATAGTTGATTATACTGTAAAATATAATTATTATTATTTTGAGTGTTAAGTTCATGTAACTAGTGGGGATTGCTTCAAAGACAACTAAAATTACTTTCAGTGATTTTTTGCATCACCTATAGCATAACTTTTAATATTGCATTTGTTCACTTGATAAATTAATTGAGACATGCACAGTACTTGAGAGTGAAACAGCATAGAGATGGTGGAGAAAACTGATGGAGACTAAAAAGTTCACACTAGAAGTTATTCTGCATTTATGACCTTTATAAGAGTTTTACTATTACTCTTTCCTTCTGTCAGTTAAATTGTCTACAGTAACCTCTGTCATATCAGCTGTTCGGAAATTAATTACCGATTTCAGCCTGTATGTTTGAAGTAGCATATCTCAGCTCAGATTAAAATTTATGAATCGAAATAAAAACCATTAGAATCAACACATTTTTGCCAATGAGAAACAAGCATATTTATTTGTCGAGCTTCTTCGACTTTCCAGTCTTCTTCAGATGCTCAGAAACAGTTGATATGCTTACCCTGAGTTCTTTTGCAAGTTCTCGAACAGTTTTGTGTGTATCTGCTTCCACCAGAGCCTTCCATTCATTGTCGTCAATAGCAGAAGGATGTCCGCGACCTTCTTGATCTTCAAGGTCGAAATCGCCACGTCGAAATTTTTATAACCAAAGTCGCACTGTCCGTTCATTAGCACTTCCCTGGCCATATACCTCATTGATGTTTCGAGCAGCTTGTGCTGCATTACATCCAAGTTTGAACTTGTAGAAGTAGATCTGTTGAAATTGCTGTTTTGACATCTGAACTTCAAACCTCCAAAATTTGTCAAAAATGCAGTTTATATTATAATGTAATTATACAGCGTGAAAGTTCATAACATGAGCTTTTCAAAAATATATAACAGTACGCCAGTCAAGAAGGTACTATTCCTGAAACATATGCAATGAAAATCACATTACGAAACGGAAATTACTTTCCCAACAGCCTAATACAATTAGCATACTCTGCTGAAGAGAGAAACAGATTTCATTGTGTCTTTCCCATTTCAGTGTTTTGCCAACTCTGGTGATCAAAGGTTGTCACTAAATATTCCTTAGTCTGTTCATGACTAGTAATGGAACCATTTGCTGTTTCTTATCCGGAATTAATTTAATCAGTGTTGGTTTTTAGATGCATGTTCGTTTTTGAAACCAGGGCTTCTGTGTTTTCATCCATAATTTGAGTAAAGTGAAGCTGACAAGCTCCTGAGGTAGAGAGCTTGATCTTTTTTCATATCTGTGCAAGTAAAAACCAAAACCAACTACTTTTTTAAGGGTTTGTTGGGTTTTTTTGTCTTGTAAAGTAAGCTTACTGGCTTACAGATTCCTCCAGAAGATCCCCTGATGCTAACCCCTTTAGTTCCTCTGGCAAAGAACATTTAAAGCGAAGTAGTCATCCTTGTATCTGACAGGGAGCATTCAGGTTATTTCAATCCATTTGTAAGATCCATCTCTTGAGTGTAGAACTACCAAAGTGGCCCAAGTAAAGCCAGTTGAAAAATAACAGGAAACTTGACAAACTTAAGGTTCTTTGTCAAAGTGAGTAAATTCATAATATCTAAATCTTGTTTTTCAAGCTCAGTTCTGGAAAACGTTTCATAATTCAAGCAATAGGCAACCTCTCTTTCAAAGGTAGTTTTTATTTCATGGTACAGGCTTTTTTTTTTAAATCTGTGACAGCATGTACCACCTCATTATCTGGGTCCTTCAGAATACACTCTTTGGAAATACACTCTTTGGAAATATTGATTTGATATTATGGGTTATTTTCACTGTGAACATTTTTTTCTTTTATCTCTTGATTTGGGATGACTATTTCAACCATGAGTTATTCTCAGTGTATTTACACATGGCTTTGCTAATTCTTAGATCTTTTCCTGGGAGTCCTTTGATCCACAGCAGTTAAGCATAAGAGGTAGAAACCCTTTAAAAATTAAGCTTTGTTGTCTTTTTTTGAACCCCTCTACAGTGCCTAACTCATGGGGCAAAATGTCTTGGTATCACAAACTGAAAATTAGCTTCTGTTGAACCCATATGCATGAAATTCTATGAAATGCAGAATTTCAGTTTTATAGTCCAAATGCCTCTAGATTTTTTTTCTTTTTCTATGCCAGTGTTCCAGACCATTATTTCTGTTGTCTGTGAGAAGAGTTTATCTTCAGGAACTCAGGAAGCCATAGTTTGCAGAATATATCATAAGCAGCTATCACTGAAATTTTCATGTTTGTTTTAAGTAGTAAGATTTTGGTTCCAAAGTGCTATGTCTTCTGGTAATCTTACTTCTTCACAATAACTTGGATAGCTCAAAAATAACTCTGTTGATATTTCAATACTTAAGTGTTTCAAGAGCTTAGCTTCAGATAAACAATTTTTAGAATCCTCATTATTAAGTATATATTAAATACTGCTAATTTTTTAATATGTTCTGGATAACTAGCAGTGTATGTTTACATAGGAGATCATCAGTGTCATGGTTTCAACTTGGCCAGTAGCCAATCACCACATGGCCAGTCGTCTACTTCCCTGCCCCAGTGAAATAGTGGAGGGACATTAAAAAGAAAATTTATAGGTTGTATATAAAAAAAAAAATCTATTAACAAAACAACAGTAACAATAGTAAGTCCAAACGGGTAATATACGATGCAGTTGCTCACCAACTGGTGACCGGTACACAGCCTGCCCCCAGCAGTGATCCTGACCACATCAAAAATCCCACCGTGCCAACCAGAAAACAGAAATGAGAGAGCACGTGTCCCCTTATATACTGAGCATGACATCACATGATATAGAATACTCCAGTGACTGATCCAGGCCTGGCCCTCTAGCTGTGCTCCTTCTCAGCCCCAGGAAAGTTAACTCTATCCTGGCCAAAACCAGAACAATCAGTAATTAAGGGAGTATATGCTGTGTAGTCAGTCTTCACGTATTGTAGCTGGAGTACTTAAAAACTGTAGTGGGATTAAAATATTAAGTATAGACAATTCTGCTTATGGTGAATTCTCCTGGTTTTAAGTGGTGGATAAACAGTTGAGGTTTTTCTAGTGCTTTTTTTTTTTCTTTTTATAAAATATTAACAAATCCCAGATCTTAACACTTGACTATATTCTCCACAGAGGTTATTTTATAATCTGTTAAGGACTAATAATTTTTTTTTTTTAAATCACATGAAACCTAATTCAAGTAACTTAAGGAATGTAAGAGTGAGACTCCAACTAAGATTTCTTATTGTTATCATTTTTTAATCAAACAAATTTCTTTTAAAAATATTTTTTTAAAAAATACCAATATAAAGTATTCTGAGCATATTGAAATAGTTCATTTGCATTGCAGGTATGGGATGGCACAAAATGTCCCTACCCAACATGGAAAGTGCCTGTGGAAGCAAGAGACGTAGAAGGAGAAAAAGTTCTTCTTCATCAGCTCCAAAATCTAATGGTGGACATTCTAGTCTATGATAACCATGTACAACTGGCAAAATCACTTAAGGTAATATACAATTTGGTATTTCTGACTCTCATTTTGTGGCCTATCTTCTGCTTAGAACTCACTTCAGAGAATGTATCAATTCAGTTCTTTTGTTAATTAGTTTCAAATGTTCCTCTTTGTCTTTCACTGTATTTCCCATACCTGTTATTTGATTGCAAAACTCCTTCAACATGTAAAACAGCTTCATTACCCTAAAATTGCCATGAAAAGAATTCTTCCAATTAAGGAATTCTTTCCAGACTCTGTAATATCATAATATAATCCTGTGAAAATAATGCACTCAGAAAATGTATTCTGTGCTATAGATTTGTTTTTTACATGCTATAAAGTGGGGATAAACTTTTAGTCCTATTAAAGGACCATGATTCTAAAGTCAATAAAAGATTTTCTATTCTATAAACTTCTGCAATTTGCAGTGCAATCTTCATTTAGTGGGTCAGTAATGTGGTTTATGCTTAGATAGAGAAAACAACAACATAATTAAACATCTGATCTTCAGCAATACTGCCATCTTGCTTATGAATACAGTAATTCTTAACAAAGAATTCAGTCTTTCATTTTATACCTTGCCCTCTATACCCAACCATCATTTTTAAGAAAGTGTTTACCAGAAAATAGACATAAGTCATAGCCATTTGTTAGGCTGGGACTATGAACAGATGTGAAAGCAATTTCCTATATTAATGCCCGTTCTTAAGTAAATGACAGATAGCAAAGTAACTTGCCTTTGTGTAAGAATTAATAACAAAACTTATTCACAGAAGTATTTCATTACTTAAAGGTTCTCTTCCAGGATTTTTTTCTTGCTAACTTTTGTAATATATTGATATAAATAACTTCACTGTTCCAGTGAAGCAGTATGTTCTGAAACTTAAGGGAAAAAAATATTTCAATGTTAATAAAACATATTTTCTTGAGTAGCTGATGGTATTTCATTCATTAAACTCTCCCATTTATATTCAGGAATTCCTACTGAATAAGTACTATGTTGGATGTCTTAATGAGCTCTTTCAATATCTTTCCTTTCTGTAAGCCCTTTCTTTCTTATCTCTAAAGTATCCGTGCATTTGCTGGATTCTGTACTGTGTAGCAGAAGCTCTAACATCAAAGGAAACTGTTAAAAAACCTGAGCAACATTGGCTGTGTCCAGAGTTCCAGTAGTTTCACTCATGAAAGCTGTAGAAATTAGATAATTTTTGAACACCACTTTTTAGTGGGTTGTCTTAGTGGAGCTGTTGAAGAAAAAGTGCCGATACCCTAACGATTAAGCTTCAGGAAGATTTATTAAATTCAGGTTGCAATATGTGCAATTAATCTTATTTCACAGAATAATCTAAAGATAATAAAGTTTTGGGAGACTCTTCCTAAACTGGAAGATGTAATAAAAGGTTTTTAAGTACTAGTGAAATTATGTCATATTGTGAGAAAGTTGAATTGAAATACTCTATATTAATCTGTATAATAATTTATTTGTTTCAGGGTCTTGTTAGTTAAGATGGGTTTTTTTTAATAATCATTTGTGTAGAAGTATAAAATTGGAGAGCGTTTAGTGTATGCATGAACACCCTCCCAAGTGTGAACATGAGAACAGTGTGGACAGAAACTATAGTTTCAGCCATCTCTTCTGCTTTTGACAGTAGCTTAGAATTGCCTTTTTTTATGTAAATTGTTGTGGAATTATTAGGTTACACTCCCATGTTGTCATGTACCATTTGCAATGACAGTTGCAGCTCTAAAATGAGGTTTTATGTAGGAACAATCTGTTTTACACAGCCTTGATACCAAGAAGGGCAGATTGGAGAAAGAAGGGAAAAAAAAAAACAAAAAACCAAAACCAAACACAAAACCCACAACCCAAACAAAACAAAAACAAAAAAAAAACCATTCCAAGAAAAAAAAAAAAAAAAAATCCCAAACCTGAAATACTTATTTTAAATAATTTTGTCTGTAGGCCCATGTTCAGACAAAGAAGTTCTGAGTAAGCACTACAGTCTAAAGAAAGTGGGTGATCTATTACAATGAATTTTTAGCAAATCATGGAGCACAGTGTTGGGAATATATTCCTGCAAGAGTTTGTTAAAAGCTCCTGATTTGGATTGTCTGTCCAGAAAACACTGAAAATACAAACATTTTATCCCATTTTCCAAGACAGTCAACTAATATTTACAATTTTCAATGGAGAGAACTTGAGTAATATTGAAGGTTTGATACCCTAAGTAGACATTTTGTACCCTATATTTACTGGCTTCCCTTTCCTGCTTGGTAAGATTGTGGCTTTTCAGCATTTGGTTCTTTAGCAGAACTAATATAGAATTTTCAGAAATCTCCTTGTTTTCTTCCTTAGCAGGACAAATACAGAATTTTCAGAAATCTCATCTCTGAAGTAGATTATTTCCTGAAGCACAAAGATGCAAGCAAGAGCTACACCTAAGCAAAGACAATGGTGTCCAGTGCTTTTTTCCTGAATTTCCTTCATACTCTGGCTCTCTGGGGTGCATAAGGCTTTCTTGTTACTCTAGGAACCCCAGCCTGCAACTAACTCTCCAGAGTACAGTTGCAACCCATAGGATGTAGTTTGTTTTTCAGCGTTTCCTATTGCAGGTTTTCAAGAGGTTCTAAGGATTCACTCAGACCTTGCAATATAATTTGGGAATAGATCCATGACATGGGTTTCTCCATCTGGAGCATTCTGCTAGATGGTGAGCATTAAGTTGAGCAAGCATCAGTGGTCACTTCGTGCACAGTAGGGGTCCAGCTGTCCACAGCTGGTTGGAGGTTTCCTTATGTGTTGTCATTCAGTGAGTATGTGATACTTTCTCTTATGGCTTGATACCATTAATTCTGTGTTGCTATGCATTTTCTGGATAGTACGATTAAAGCAATTAATCTTGAGCATGCATATATGTCCTAGTCCATAGTTTCACAGTATTTGCTTCATGTTATGTATCTTCAGATGCAGAATTTGAGTATTTTCAGCTGTTCCTACCACTGTATACAGTGTCATATCTTTTTTGATAGTTATTTGGACTAAGAAGTCTTCCTTGCTGTTCTGGTCTCTTGAGTCACATTTCCAACCTGCAACTTAAATGAGTTACACGGCTTTAATATCTAGCTCCATATCTTTCAGGCCTGGGTATAATTCCTTTGACCTGTCAGTGGTATTTGCCCCACTTCTGTAGTCATTAAAAGAGGGAAAAAAAACCCCACAACACACCCCATTGCACCCCCAAGTCCTCCAAACCCTTTAACGGATTTAAGTTGGTATTTTTTTATTGGAAAGAACCACACCCCGATGCTGTGCATATGCTTTCTCTCATTTGTAAAAAGTTGTGCACAGTTTACTCAGTAAAAGTAGACTGTTGGTAGGATGAAATAATGACAAATTAAAAAGCCATAAAATAGGCATAAAAATTACTACAAATGGTTTTAAGTGATTCCTGTAGATAGCCTCTTGTCATGAGTGTTTTTCTGGCCAAGATTAATGACCATTGTGAGTTTGTCAGTGTCTTAAATGTGAACACAACCTTAAGTGTTTTGAAATAATTATGAGAATTTGCTACGCTGAAAAGTTTAGTTGTCTAGTTACAGGAAACTGCATGTGTGACTTCTTAATTTGATTTCTTTTTAGCCTTAATATGTATTTTTAAAACAGTCATATTTGAATTAGACTGCAAATAGGGTATTAGTATATTTTATATTACTGCAAGAAATGTGTCCTTATTGCTTTAATTTCATTTTATATTAACTTACTCTAAATGAGGTAGGTAGTTCATAAACAGAACTGCTGTAAGGTCAAGGAGTTGGTTTTGTACTAGATTTTTGTCATGGCTCCGTAAATCACACTGTTTACTTTAATGGAGATTATAATTTCTTCTCAGTCAAGTATGTAAAGTGTGCTCGGTCTGCAGGCATTCTGTAAACAACAGAAATACAGTAACGTTTTTAGCCTAACACCCACACTTGCCGCTGTTAACAGTAAGCAATGCTGCCTCCCAAAGGAATTCACGGAAATTGCACAGTCTCGCACGGTCAGATCTGGTGGTCTGTGGTGACATGCATAGCCTTCCGGACTTTTTCAGTATTAGGCAATGCTGATTATAATTTATCTCTTTACTACAGTTATAAGTGAAATTATATAAAATAATAACATTTTCAGAAAAGTGATCTAATAAAATGCATATATAGGAAGCTATGTTTTTATAGTGATCATAAATCTTGGGAAGTTGAGTGTTGCACTAAAACATGTAATTTGGTTGACTTTTGCATGAATTTCAGCACACAGGTTTAGAAGGCAAAACCAGAATTTTGTGTTCTTGGCTTCTGGACTCCTTCCTCCTATGTTTAATAGTTTATGTACATGAAGTAAATACTTAAGTTTTTCATATATTGTTTTTGAAAGACAGACATTCTTCAATTGTAATCAACTTTTTCCTGCTTGTATACAAATTAATCTTAAAAAACAAACAAACAACACCTAGTTTGGCACTGTTATTTTGACATAAGGTTTTTGATAAGCAGAATTAAGCTAAATGTTTTTTAAATTTTTTTTTTCTAAAAACATTTGTCATAGTCATTAATTAGTTTTATATGACTGTCCCTTGCATTTTTGGATATTCAACATAATTAAGTTAAATTTAGCATCTGGAAAGAAAAAAAAAAAAAAAAAAAAAAAAAAACCATCTAAATAAATGCACAAGCTGTCCTGTTGATGTGCTTTGAATGAACAAAATGAGCAGCAACCTAATGGTGCAGATCAATTAAAACTCTGGTAAGAGCTCCATGCCAGAAGCAAAATAGGTGCAGGCTGAGATGCACTTTTTATGTCCCTGGTGCCTGAATTTGAAAATATGCTACCTTTATGTGTGATTATTGTTTAAAAGGGCAGTTTATACCAGTATTACATAGTCATAGCCTGTTCCTTGATACAGAGAAGGATTCTATAACCAGGAAGCTACTCTCTCTGCTTTTGTGCATATATATGTACATACTAAGACCTTGACAATCCAGTCTAACAGGAATACTTTTTAGGTTTCTACTGGTTAAAGCAGGAGCTGAAGCCAAAAAAAGACTCAACAGACTGGCAGCTGTAATATTAATGTTAATTGAAATCAATTTAAAATAATTTATCATTTATATAGGACTGTTTAAGATACTTAGAGTGAACATAAATTGAGATCATTGTATGTGTGTAGCTTGCCGGCTATCAGATATATCTTAGGTTATACTTTAAAAAAAAGCATTTGAGTGCAAGTTAATTTGATTCAAAGGCCTTTAAAACACATCAAAGGGAAAATAACTTTCTACTTAAGTCTCCAGATTATCTACCTCTAGAACTTTGGTTTTGATTCGGAGGGTTTTTTTTGGGGTGGGGCAGGAGGGAGGAGGATAACGGGAGTGGCGTTTTGAAATAAAAGCAGAGTTATAAAGATGTCCTTGATGTTCAGCACTCCATAACTTCTTTCTTGATAGGTACTTATATAAGGTAGTCTAAGTCCATTTTTGTAACTTGATGAAAATGCTTCAGAGAACACAAATTCTAAGCACAGTAAGAAGCACATTCATAATGTACCTGAGGAGAAAATCTAACAGAGTTAGGAACAGTGTTAAAATCCCTGAATTTGTAACACATGTTGCCTGTCATCCTGGTGCTGAAAAAATGTTACCTGTAATGTAAGAGTAGGATATGATAAAGAAATCTGAGTAAACAGATGTGCTTGCATGCATACATAAACAGATAATATGCCATGCATGATAATGGACATGAGGTCAATTGCTGAGTGTGACCATACATGGAAAAATCAGACATCTGTCTCTGGAGGGCTTTATTCTGAATATAGAAGACAAATTGTGCCCTCGGGAAAGGAATATATTGGCTCGTTTGATCTGTCTTCTGATGTCTGCTTGAGCATCCGATTTAGTAAGAAGGCTTATGCTGGTTCTGAATCAGCCTGTGCTGCCAGTAATGTTGTCTAAGAAAGCAAACCAAACAGGTAACCCAGAGAGGTTTTGGAGTCTCCATCTCTGAAAATATTCAGAACTCAGCTGGAGACAGCCCTAAGAAACCTGCTCTAGTTAACTCTGCTTTCGGCACAGGGGTTGCCCCAGGTCCCTGGAAGTTTCAGCTGTTCTGTGATTCAGTGAAAATAGGGAATAAACTTTGAGGCCTAGAATTTTCCAAGTAAATAGCTAACTTTGTTGTCAATTTATTCTTTTTCTTTTAGATTGGAAGTTTTCTGAGAATTTATAGTATTCATACGAAACAAGCAAGTGCTGTGGATGAAGATGTCTCGCATATAGAATTCCATCTTCATGGTGGCACCTGTTACGGTCGAGGAATAGGAGTCTTACCAGAAAGTAACCCAGATGTTAAGGAACTAAAAGCGTACGTTCTATATATAGTGTTTTTTTCTAATTTTTTCTGGAAAACTCTAGGTTAATGTAAGAACTGTACAGTTTAGAATTGTAAACGTATGTAAGAACCATAAACTCTGGAACAGAATATGTGTTTAGCACCACTAAGATGAACACTAAGTATTTGGGGGGATAGATAAATAAAGGATAATTTAAAATATAAAATACAATAGGGATTAAGATTTCTATTTTATGGTGCTGTAATAATAAAACCTGACCACATTAACATACTTATTCTATTTTATACTGGCATATAATCTTCTAGATATAATCTGTGGTTAAGCAAATATATTAAGAACTTTTTAAGCATGTGCATATATGTTACACAGAAATGATGAGGCTTAAAGATGTTCAAAATGAAGCATGTAAGTGCTTTACTGAACTGTGTTATATACATAAGGAATCATAAAATCGTTTAAGTTGGAAAGGAATTTTAAGATCATCAAGTCCAACCATTAACCTAACACTTCAAGTTCCACTAAACCATGTCCCTAAACACCACATCCACATGTCTTTTAAATACCTCCTGGGATGGGGACTCCACCACTGCCCTGTGCAGCCTGTTCCAGTGCTTGACAACACTTTCCGTGAAGAAATTTTTCCCAATATCCAATCTAAACCACCCCTGGTGCAACTTCAGGCCATTTCCTCTTGTTCTATTGCTTGTTACTCAGGAGAGGAGACTAATACCCACTTCACTACCCTTGTAGAGAGTTGTAAGGTCTCCCCTCAGCCTCCTCTTCTCTAGACTAGACAGCCTCAGTTCTCTCAGCCAAGACATGTGCTCCAGACCCTTCCTCAGCTTCTCTGGACACGCCAGCAAGGGACCCAAAACTGATCAGAGTAATTGAGGGGCGGCCTCATCAATGCCAAGTACAGGGGGATGATCACTTCCCTGGTCCTTCTGATACAAGCCAGGATGCTATTGGACTTCTTAGCCACATGAGCACACTGCTGGCTCATATTCAGTTGGCTGTCAGCCAACACCCCCAGGTCATTTCCGCCAGGCAGTTTTCCAGCCACTGTTACCCAAGCCTGTAGCATTGTGTGGAGTTCTTTTGACCCAAGAGCAGATCCTGCCACTGAACTTTGAAGCTCACAGAGTTGGCCTCAGTCCATTGATCCATCCTGTCCAGGTCTCTGCAGAGCCTCCCTACCCTCGAGCAGATCAACACTCCCACCCAATATGGTGCCATCTGCAAACTTACTGAGGGTGCATTCGATCCCCTCATCCAGGTAGTTGATAAAGATATAACAGCCAGTGCAACTAAGAAAAGGCAATGGGTCATAGTAGTAGGCAACTCTCTTCAGAGAGGTATGGAGGCACCCTTTTGCCAACCTGATGTGCTCTCTAAAGAGGTGTGCTGCTTACTGGTGGCTCATATCAGTGATTTCACCAAGAGACTACCGAGCCTTATATAGTCTACTGACTGTTATCTACTGCTGTTGTTTCATGTGGACAGCAATGATACAGCCAGAAGCAGTCTGAGGAGTATCAAGGATTACAGAGCCTTGGGAGCAGTAGGGACTCTGGTGTGCAGGTAGTTTTCTCATCAGTCGTCCTGGTCAAAGAGCTTGAAAGGGTCAGTTGAATCTGGCAAATCAGCAAATGGTTATGGGACTGGTGCCACAGCCACAGGTTCAGATACAGTATTGGACTGGCTTTGAGAGACCTGGTCTACTAGGGGCTGATGCAGTTCATCTGTCAGAGAAGGAGAAGAGCACCTTCAGTCATAGGCTTGTCAAGCTGGTGAAGAGGGCTTTAAACTAAAGTTTCATATCTGAGAAGTCCTGGCACTCCAGTGAAATTCCCACTGACTGGAAAAGTGGAAATATAACCCCCATTTTTAAAGAGGGGAAAAAAGGAAGACCCATGGAACTACAGGCCAGTCAGTCTCACGTCTGTGCCTGGCAAGATTATGGAGCAGATCCTCCTGGAAATTATGCTATGGCACATGGAAAATGAGGAGGTGATTGGTGACAGCCAATATGGCTTCACTAAGGGCAAATTGTGCCTGATGAATTGGTGACCTTCAACGATGGGATTATAGCACTGGAGAAGGGAAGAGCAAGTGACATCATCTAGCCGGACTTGTGCAAAGCATTTGACACTGTCCTGCACGACATCCTTGTCTCTAAATTGGAGATACATGGATTTGATGGATGGATGCACTCAGCATATAAGGAATTGGCTGGATGGTCTCAGAGAGTTGCGCTCAACGTCTTGATGTCCAAGTGGAGAGCAGTGACAAGTGGTGTTCTTCAGGGGTCGGTGTTGGAACCAGTGCTGTTGGTGACAGGGACAGTGGGATTGAGTGCACCCTCAACAAGTTTGCTGCTGATGCCAAGCTGTGTGGTGCGGTCAACACTCTAGAAGGAAGGGATCCCATCCAGAAGGACCTTGACAAGCTTGAGAGTTGGGCAAACCTCATGAAGTTCAACGAGGCCAGGTGCAAGGTCCTTGTCTCGTCCCACATGGTGGGTTATGAGGTGGGTGAATCTTTTGAATTTCCCAAGAGCCTGCATGACGGTGGAGGAGCCGGTCTCTGCTCGGCAGAGCTGCAGGGTGTGACGAGTCATGACGATGACTCAGAGGAACAATTGTGCTGGTGACTTTATTAACTGACCACTGTAGTGAATGATTGGAGACAATTTGGCAACAATCAGCTGATAACAGTCCAGAGAACGATTGAAGGTACTTTGGTGATGAGACTGCTTTCCTAATAACCCATCAGCGATCAACTGATTGCAATTCATACAAAATGTATATACGTGAATGTATGTAAGAGAGAGAGTAGAAAGAGGAAAGAAAAGAGAGGAGAGGATAGTGTTATAGTTGTATTGAAATAACTAGAGTCCAAAATAAATTCACTAAATATTTATTAAGGTAGGAAAGCAAAACAGCACGCTGGGCGGCTGGGGAGTCGCAGCTCTACCCAAGGCTCACGAATTCCGACAAGTAACACAGTCTTTTTATCCTCACGGAGGTCGGTTTCGACATCTTCGGCATGCCTCTTAGCTTCTTTTATTATCGTAACTTCTTTAAGACTGGCTAGCTTCAAAGTTGGTTTGAGCAAACAGTTAGGCTTTCAGTCACGTAGTAATGTGGGTTGTACATTTGTTAACAGGAAGCTGTGAAGTTGTAAGTTACGAAACTAATCTCTTTTTACACTAAGGTCTCAACAAAGACAAAAATTCAAAAGTTGTCATGGTAACATAAGTTACCATGATTGTTACCAAGATTGTAGTTTAACAGTTGCCTTGAGACAGTATATCTTGCAACCTCGTGGTTAAGTCTTGTTTCTTGCCAGACAGGATGTTCTCAGATCAGTTGCAGCAAGATCATTCCTTTTGTTAAAAAAAAAAAAAAAGTTTGATCTGCAAATCACCCTTGATTACTTATCACAATAAGAAAAGGGGAATCGCCACCCTTAGATCTCATGCTGTCACAGAGTAGCCAGCTTGGTCTGTAGGTGGGGAGTTGACAAAGACACAAGTGGGGTGTTGGCTTTATATAGTCTTTCTTACACATGTGCAGTAGGTTGTTTCAGAAGGGTTCTCATTTTCTTTGACTTGTACCTGTGCAGTTTAGGCAAGTTCCGTCTCTGGCCAATCACAGAGGGAGAGAGAAAGAAACAGCGCACAGCCCCACCTCTACAGAGCTCACTCTGCTTCTCCCCTACAGGGTGTCCCACTTGAGTTGTCTGAGGCATCCTCTTTATGAACAGTTTTTTGGTTATAAACAGTTTGTGACAGTCCTGCACATGGGTCGAGGCAATCCCAAGCACAAATACGGGCTGGGTGATGAGCGAACTGAGAGCCGCTCTGACGAGAAGGACTTGGGAGTATTGTGGATAAAAAACTATGAACAAGCGATATGTGCTTGCAGCCCAGAAAGCCATTCGTATCTTGGGCTGCATCCAGAGAAGTGTGGCCAGCAGGTCAAGGGAGGTAATTCTGCCCCTGTACTCTGCTCTCATGAGACCCCACCTGGAGTAGTGTGTTCAGCTCTGGGGCCCCCAACATAAGAAGGACTTTGACCTGCTCAAGTGAATCCTGATGAGGGCTGTGAAGATGACTGTGAAGATTATGAGGACAGTCTGAAAGTTGGGGTTGTTCAGCCTAGAGAAGAGAAGGCACCAGGGAGATCTTATAGCAGGCTTTCAGTACTTAAAAGGGGCCTACAGGAAGGGTGTGGAGAGACTCTATCAGGGAGTGTAGTGATAGGACTAGGGGTAACGGTTTTAAACAGACATAGGGTAGATTTAGATTAGATATAAGGAAGAAATTCTGCACTGTGAGGATGGTGAGATACTGGAACAGGTTGCCTAGAGAAGTTGTAGATGTCCCCTCCCTGGAAGTATTCAAAGCTAGGTTGGATGGGGCTTTGCGCAACCTGGTCTAGCAGAAGGTGTTGGATCTAGATGATCTTTAAGATCCCTTCCAACCCAAACCATTCTGTGATGATTCTATGATATGAAGGAGAACTGTCCCCAGTACTGAGCCCTCAGGAGCACCATTTGTGACCAACCGCCAACTGGATTTAACTTTTTGGGCCTGGCCATCCAGCCAGTTTTTACCCAGCGAAGCATATGACAGTCCAAGCATGAGCAGCCAGTTTCCCCAGGAGAAGGCTATGTGAAATGGTGATAAAGGCTTTACTGAAGCCTAGGTAGACAACGTCCACAGCCTTTCCCTCATCCACTAAGCAGGTCGCCCTGTCATAGAAGATCAGGTTTGTCAAACAGGACCTTCCTTTCATAAACCCATGCTGACTGGGCCTGATCACCTGATTGTTCTGTATTTGTATGTTGCACTCAAGATGATCTGCTCCATAACATTCCCTGGCACTGAGGTCAGTCTGACAGGCCTGTAGTTTTCTGGATCCTCCTGCTGGCCCTTCCTGTAGGTTGGCATCGCATTTGCTAACCTCTAGTCAACTGGGACCAAAGTCTACATTCCTTTATCAAGAATTCTGTTTCCAGTGGTTCGGATTTCTTTTGGCACTATATTGTGTTTGAAGTTCAAAAAGTAATTTTGAAAGGAGTATCTCATCTCCATCATTAATACAGGCTCCATCAAATTCTGACTCAATTGTTTTATATCTCTGTTGGAAAATTTATGTCTGAACATTATACCTGTGTATTGAGAAACACTAGGTTTCATGTAAGTGTATGTGTAGTCCCATATATATGTGTGCATGTGAATGTGTATATATATGAAAGACTTCTCTAGATTATAAAGTATATAGTAATTTATTTTTAGATTCTTAGAAACTGTGGAGCTGGCAGACAGTCAGAACATGGAAAGCATGTCTTCAGTGGAATTAGATGGCACTTTTAACAGTGTTACAGGTAAAAGCAATGGAAAGCTGATTTGCTCTTTCTTCTAATGTGTATGATCAAGATAAGGTCACTGTTACTGCTTCTCTAAGTGTATAATGTTACTTTCACATACAAAGCCTTAGAGAATTATTTTGGATTTATTAGACTGGAAATTGACATTACACTACCCTTCTGTCTCACAGCAGAAGCCTTTCATATACATGGAAATATACTTTTATAGAAGGTAGTGAATAAATTATGTGAATAATTTACAGATGGTATTCTTAATCATACTATATTAGATCATAAAGCAGAGCAGTGTAACTCCTTGCCTCTAAAGGGGTATTCCTCAGAGACAGGCACTGATAACACACTGCTGAACAGCTGCTTGCTGAGGAGCCCTTCTAAAGCCACTGGATGGGAAATTATATCCATGGCAGATTTGCAAGATGAAATGCCATGGAAAAGTATCTTACAAACAGTTCTACAGATTCCATATTATTCTTCAAATGGTATTTTTAGCACAAAATAAAAATAACTAAAAGTGGATTAAACACTAAAGCCGGTTGGACATAGTCTGCATCTTTGCTCATGACTTTAAAATCTTATGTTACTTAACCATTATTAAGATACTGTGATGGTATTTCTAAAAGGGTGCAAAAATCAAGACTAAATAAATACTTCATATCTAGACCATAACAGGGCAAATTCAGAAATAATTTTGCACATACTTACTTCACTCTGTTGTGTAGTAGAGGTTGTTTAGAGGAGGGACCAGGCAGTTGATATTGGTTTTAGAATAATGTATTTATGCTCTTGTCCAGAAGGGTTACAGGGGGATGAATATGTCAGCAGTATCATTCAGAGTATGCATTTGAAAAAGGTTCACTGTGACGAGCATTGCTCTGTAAAGTATAGCTGATTTCTCCTTAAATATATTAACTCTTGATATCTAATGTTTGTCTCCTGCTTACTTTTCTTTTAACCTTTTGCTATATTATTTTCATACATTATTAGGATTTTAATTTTCCTTTGTTCGGCTTTTGGCTTTGTGTGTGTATAATAATAATTAGGAAATTCTTCTTGATTTTAGATTTTGAATCACGCTTACAGAGATGTCAGCAGTTACCTGTTACAGGTAGGAAACATTTTGACCTAAAGGTGAATTTCATTTTTACTAAACAACAAAAATATTTTTGAGACATCAGCTCAAAGGTTGAAATACCTTTTACTTATTATAGAAAGAGCTATTCTAATGTTACATTGGTTTTATTCTGGTTTTAAAGGAATAGAGCATATTGGTATAATCTACTTCCATTTTTTTTTTCTACATGTTGAATATCTGTACCCTGAAGTACACTATGCTCTCCCAACCTGCTGTGATTTATCTTGAAGACTGCGGTAACACATTTTATTGATAAAACAGGCTGCAAGTGGGAAGGGAAGAAAAGCTGGGAAAGGAAAATGCATACCTGCAATGTCCATTTCCCATATTCTAAGTATTATGGTGTTTAATAGGTATGCATGGCACTTTTTTAAATGTGTTTTTATTTTGCAGTATTAACAGATCATCAGGATTTGAATAATACAGAACTGAAAACCATTCTGAATAGCACAGCTCCTCAACAGTATCGCATTAGAGCAAAGCTGAGAACTTATAAACCCCAGAAGCTTTATCAGTCTATTAAACTTCACTGTTCCAAATGCAACTCTTTGTAAGTGTTTCACACAATAAAAGTAATTAGGAATTTTTCTATGTGTTTTGGGATGCCTAGATTTTTCAGTGTATTTTCATCTTTTTTTGTGTAAAATAAGCTGAATGTAAATGTGTTTCATTTTGAGCAAATATCTGAAACTCACTGGTAATAGGTAGGAAGATTTTAAATCATCTGATGAGTTCCATTTACAGAACCCTTTGAGTGCTTTCAAAACAATTTTTATTAATTTTCAAATTTCGCAGTGCTGCTTTTCCCATACCAAAGTTATATTTAAGTACCTGTTTCTGTATTGCGGTTTTAAAATAGGATATACAAAAAAGTATGATAGTCTCCAAGTGAATGAATAAAATATCTTTGACTAAAATGTATCTTCCAGAGAAGGCATCTTTTCTGGATCCAGAAATATCAGGTAAACACCATTCACCTTAGTAGTATTGTCTTTTTTCTGAGTCAGTTCGCTGACAGTTTTATCATTGTTATTTCCCCTTTAATGCTGTTTGTCATTGTATTAAATAATACTATTGCTTTCTTTATCTGATGGCATGTTATCATTCTCCTAGTCTTCTGAAATTTTTTTCACAATCAAGATTTATCAGGTAGAAACAATGCCCCTACTGTAATATTTTTAACGGCTTTTGGATGCAAAGTAGCACACCTGCAGCTTTAACAATATTGGCCCTTATCAGATGTTGTTATAAATTCTCTTGATCACTAATGTAAGAGGAAGTACTTCATCTTCACAACGTACAAGTATATGGTCTTTATTGCCAAGTATAAAAAGGAGATAATGATTACCAACTATCTCTTTTTTTGTCACATTTTTGGATATATTTGTCAATTCTGTATAGTAATAAGCAGATACAACTGATAGAATTTTGTTCATTCCTTCAGAACTATATCCTTATCCCACAGTTTTCTATGACTACTATAGCCTTGTCTTGTTAATGTCTTCATTTCTGTTCATCTGAGTCTCATCCTGTTTCACATATTGCTGTCTTCTCTTTACTGCAGAATTAGGGCAGACTTTTAACCAGATAGATTTGTGAGGCTTTAGTTAGCATATTTCCTGGTACTACTACTAGCATCCTGCTGCAATGATGAGATTTGTAGTGCTTTCCCAGAAATTTAGCTTCCCTGTTCTCAGCTGTGTACATCAGGTGGAAGGAATCAGTGAAATATAGTGGAGCTGTACTGCAGCTTGGATTGGGTGAGTTAGGAGGCCAAGGAAGGAAACATGATTTAGGGGCATTCTTCTCTCCTACATGTTCTGCTGTGGCAGAAGTTGTTTCATGTTTTAGCATATGCTGAAAAGCCTGACTGAACAAAGATCAATGCAAGTTTGATCCTTTAACACTTTATGCAGTAAGATGCATATAACACTTGGGGTGTAAAATCCTTGAGATGTATTTTTGATTTCTAGTCTTTGTCTGGAAGCTTCCCTGTAAATATCAGAATATCTGTATACATGGATGTAGTTTTATTCATGTATCCACGTTACAGAAGTTTCATTCCTCGTGTGTTGGTTTGTTCAAAAACAATTCATTCCATTCCTGCCTCTGCAGAAAATCTATAGGCAGGCTGTAGAGGCAGGAAGATTTTAATGGATATATATGGAAATATATCCTGTTATGTTAGGTCCATTACTTTTGCATTTAAAATAGGAACACAGGGGGAAAGAGTTCATGTGAACAGTACTGTTTTCATTAAATGAAAGTTCTGGTTCAGGAAGACCTCTTGTGTACCAGTTCTACAATCATAGCGGAAGAATATCAAAGTTTGATTTCATAGGCAGGAATTGTTCTATTCACTAGTGGAAGAAACTGCTCTTGGGATTGAAAGTAGAATTGTCAGAATAATCTGCAGGAGTCGATGGTATTTTTTCCTTAACTCCACTCTGAATTTAGCACCTACTTTCATTCAGTATTTTATGAAATAGCCCTAGATTTTGCCTTTTTTTGGTGTCATTTTGTCATGGTTTGTATTCTGCCTGAAGCCAGCCCATCTGTCTTGCTTAGGAGAAAACATTTGAATGGATTTTTAATTTGTGTGCCAACCACTGGCTTTTTGCCTGTTGTTGGCAGTATTGGTAAAATTTGATGGCCTGCATGACTTCTCTGGATGACAACTGGAATTGCAGGAACGGTGCACTCTACCAGGACAGGAAAGAGACTGTTTGGTGTGGAGTTGTAGATTTTCCCTCTACAGTACATATGTGAAGCTATTCTGCTCCTGCTTTTTTTTTTTTTCTCCCCCCCTGCAAATTAAAATAGCCTAGAGCATAAAACTTTAAATTATATGACCTTATGCAGTGTTTTCACTCTACTGAAGTGGTATGCAGTTGTGTGGCCCTTTTAAGGCCCAACTAAAATCACATAAAGCTGATATATTTGTTTTTCCATATTTTTATTTACATATGTGTGGATAAAGCCATGTAGTGGTTTAATCCCAGCTAGCAAGTAAGTACCACACAGCCACTTGCTCACTCTTTCCCTCTCCTCCTCAGTGGAATGGGGCGGAGAATCGAAAACAAGTAAAACTCGTGGGTTGAGATAAGAACAGTTTAATAATTGGAATAAAAAAATGAAATATAATAATTAAAAGAAAGATAACAAAAAGAGTGAAATAAAACCCAAGACAAATGATGCACATGGTATTGCACACCACATGCTTACCAGTGCCCAAGCAGTGATCTGCCCCTCCTGGCCAACTTCCCCCAGTTTATATACTGGGCATGACATCATATGGTATGGAATGTTCCTTTGACCAGTTTGGGTCAGCTGTCCTGGCTATGTCGCCTCCCAGTTTCTTGTGCCCCTCCAGTCTTCTTGCTGGCAGGGCATCAGAAGCTGAAAAACTTTTGACACAATATAAACATTACTTAGCAATAACTAAAAACATCAGCATGTTATTAACATTATTCTCATACTAAATCCAAAACACAACAGTATACCAGCTACCAGGAAGAAAATTAACTCTATTCCAGCTGAAACCAGGACTAGCCACTAGGCTGCCACTGCTCCTAGGTAAGATTAGCATTCTTAGCATATTTATTAAAATGGAAACGAATTATCTTGTCATAATTTGCTGTACAACTCTAAATGTTTAAACTCATAAAACAACAAAGTTATTTTTCCCGTATATTCTTTAACTCTCATGACTCTTTTAATATTTATTTGGAGTACTGTCATCCTTGTTGCTAGATTGTCATAGCAAAGCTGTTAGAATTTAATTACTCACTTTGCAAATCATTTTAGGCAAGAAGTTCCAGATGGAGATGACTTTGACTTTATTTTACAAGGCTCTGCCATTACTGCCCCAAACGCAGAATTACAAAATACATCCTGGTATGATTCTGTAATGTGGACTACACAAGATGAGAAACAAAGGAAAATAGCTATCCATTTTGTAAAGCATGATGAAATGCTTCAACAGCCTGAAGATACTTTGCTTATGATAGAAGGTAAGATAAACTGCACATATACGACTTCTTGTGGCACAGTGTCCCCTCTGTCTACAAAGTTAAGATATGTTGAAGTTGTATTCAGTGTAAGTGGGTATGATTATAGAGGCATCTTCAACAAAAAGAACTTAGCTGGAACTTTAAGTTACTGTTGTGTAAACAGGAAAAAGTAATCTGTGAAGCTCTTGTGAGATGCTTTTGTCTACTTTAAAACTTTACCAATAAGTTTATTGTTGATTCTGAATATTCTGAATGTATTTTTTACTACCTGTGCTTTCTGATTCTTTCTGATTTGAAAACTTTCTGAGTCTTCTAAAAAAACCCCAATTTTAGTGTTGACGTGGAAAAGTTTTGGAGGACTTCTGATAATACAAGCCTACAGTTAACTTTATCAACCTCTGGATGTCAGTGTTGTTTTGGATTGATAGAGATTCTTGCAGTGTGAGGTTTTTTGGCTTGTTTTTTATCAGATTTCCTCGGGGAAGAGAAGCAGTCACTGAACTTTAAACAAAGCAGTTTAGCAAGAATACTAATCAGAAATGTTTTGAATAGAATAAAAATAATAAGCTATTGTATCTAATACCATTCTGAGTTTAAAACAGAGTCTTCAATTGTGGTCAGGTAGTGGTGTGAATAAGCAAATGTGAATCAGATGGTCCTTTGTGTAAGGGTCAATGACAAAACCCCTTCTGTTTTCTGCTTTGTTTTATATTCAGGTAGTTCTGATAGATGCTTTATTTCTGACGTGTTCCAAACTGGGGGTTCTTGCGAGTTTTTTTTCAATCTAAACTTACTGTGGAAACAAAATAAAAAAGAATCTATTTCTACTCTATTTTCCTAAAAAAACCTGAACAATATAACTTGGTAAATCTTTTTTTAGCTATTAAAGTACCACCAGCTAATTATGTATGTATGTGGATATTTGCGTGCTTCATGTTGGAGCACAAGGAAAAGGCGAAATCAAGTCTTTTAGCACTTTTCTCCCAGAACATTGATCATGAACCTTGCCAAACCTATATGCTATTTTAATTTTTATCTTTAAGTTTTTGGACGTGGAGATTTTGAAGTTTCCCTAGAAATCTATCCAGCACTTTTACAGATACAGGCCTCAAAGGTGAAACGCATTATGACAGTTATTAGACAGAGGTGGTCTAGATTCTGTTTGTGAAACACAAGCAATTTACTCTTCTACAACACAGTATTCTTCTGCATAATCATTATGCTGAAGTAAGGACATCTTTTTGAGAGTTTGGCATCTGTTGGGCTGGAATTTAGGAAGTAGTTGGATAATATACAGAATTTTATGTGACCCTTCAGAGGTCGTAATGGGAATCCATGACAATTGCTACAGATCAGTTGAACTGATGAGTGGTATGTTACAGTTCACGAGTAGATTAGTGCTCCTTGCATATCTTCATTATTTGTAGGTGAAATTGGTGTGATTAATATCATTGTTAATCCCTGGTAATTCTCTTGTGTTTTACGCCAGTCTATTAGAAGCCAGAATATACTTGTTCAGTGTAACTTTGTATTACAGCAAAGTTGAAATTCTGAAGACCTTTTAGCAATGTTAATTAAAGCTATCCTGAAATTTGTATGTTAATCTCTTAATGTGTACAGCTTTATCTGTGTCATTGTACTTGGACGACCTTTGTTTTCTAACCTTTTGGGAAGCCATTTTAAATTTCTGTGCCTCTGCTTTATTTTTTTTCCACCAGAAGTTAGGTTCATTGAGGAGGTTTCATGCTGTGCATTTTTTCGTCACCAGTAATAATGCAATTTTATTGATTTTATTTTCTTCTCTAGTTACCTCTGCAATACAAGTAACATATGCAATAAATATTACACCATCCAGTGTCATAATTGCTTGTCATAAAGTCTTTGAAACATCTTAGGTTTTTTTAAACATCTTATAGTTAGTGGTAAACAACAAAGTTGTAGAATATGTTTGTTTTAAAACAGTTTGCTCACTTTTTTATTGTTGTTGACAAGCTGATTAAATATATTTTTATTGAACTGTTTTCAAATAACTGTTCTGTCTGTGCTAAGTTAATGCATTTACCACATTTCCACCGAATTGGTGAAATTTTGAAGGATTCTGTAATCAATTCCACAGTCCATACTACAGAGTCTGAAGGCAGGTAATTCCATGATTTGTAATAAATTTGAAATTTTTCCTGTCACTGTAATTGGAAAATCTCAGCATTCTAGCTGTAATGTACTAAATTTCTGCTGTGTTTCTAGAATGGACCCGACTTAGTAACTCTGAAATTAGCATGAATTTTGGTGGTTCTGTTTTTCCCACCTCATGTCACTTAAGACATGGTTGAATAACTCCTTTTTCATAAACTGCTGGTTAAAAAGTAATAGATTTTGGCACTTGAAAGCTGAAAAATAGTTAATTTGGAGCAACTGCAAAAAATCAGTTTATTCCTCCCCTCCCCCAAATGACTACTTAAATCATAGGAGAAATGTGGAAGTGATGCTAACTAAATACAACTTCATGGTTAGAGTGGTGACTGTGAGGAAGATATTAAGGCATCTGCTCTGATAAATGTCCATTTTTGATTTATTATTGAGTCTGTTGTTGAGTAAGAGTGAGAAAGTTGCGGACCATTTTTTTCAGTTTTCAATAGTGAGTCTCAATTTTTCTTGAAGATCCTGAAATCAACATCTAATCAGCCAAGAAATGGAAGTCGTTCAGTTTATTCTTGACTACAATTTTAAAAAACCCATGTTTTTTCTGTTTTTAATAGGTGGAACACTAAAAGAAGTTTGGAAACTTACAAAAATATTCAAATGTGTTATTCCTGTGAGATCCACAGAAGAAGATCTTGAATTATTAGATCTTTCAGCTCCTTTTCTTTTACAAGGAAATATAAAATATTATGGGTAGGTTAAAACTATTTGCGGATATTTTAGTAGTTGGAGTAATAGATATCATTTTCTTCAGTAATTCAAACTGCAGTGCTCAAGGAATAACTTGCCCAAAGATTTTTTGATGCAAAATACATAACATGATCAGCAGTACTGACATCAGGGATGAAATGCCTTACTACTTATATCTTGTATGAAAGGACATAACTGCAGCTGGGCTTTATCTTGCTCTATAAATCTTATGCCCTTAATTACGCACCACCCCAGGTTCAGTCTGGCTTGTGGTATGTGGGTAGGGCGGTATACTACAGAGACAGAAATGCGTGTATGAGTCTCTTTAGGCTGCAGAATGTCTACATCTTTTAGTCCAGATCTTCCATTTTCTGGCCAGAAAAGTACCCTTTTCTGGTCTTACTGCTTAGACTAAAGTCAAAACAGTTTAAAACTATATGCTGGGGTTTTTTTTGTACACAGATAATATTTAAATAGAGACTCAGAGAATAATTTCAGGGTGTCAGTGCATGTTTCATTCTTTCTCTCATTCCTAGTGTTGGGAAAGCTTGGGTTTTGGAAGAATTAAGGGATTTTGGATAGCCTTTCCTCAGCATTTGCCATTTATTGAGATCTACAACACTGCAAAGTGCCTTACCTATTTGTGAATATCAGTCACTGTAGAGACACCTTCAATGGGTTTCTGAATTCCACAGTTCCAGGGCTGTGGAATATGATAGATGCATCTAGGTCTGATATCTGTGCAATGCCATGCAGCACCATTTTCCTGCTCAATGAGAGCTAGCACCAGTACATTCTCCCAGTACTGCACAGCAGCATGTAGTTACTGAGCTCAGAAAAAAAAAACAAAACAGTCTACTTCGTGCAAGATATTCAGTCTACTCTCTCAGCAGCCCCAGTAAGTTCAAGCAAAGCACTGTGTTGTGCTACTTCAGTCCTGTAGGCAGTAAAAATATTCTGTGCAAAAATATTGCATGTTTCACATGAACCATAAAATTTCCCATAAGGGCCTGATAAAATTAATACAGATAACTATTTCTCTTTGTCATATAATGTTTTGACCTTTTCAAGTATGGCTGCCCACAGCTTTTTTAAATAAAGACAATATATGGGTGTTCCTACTGGGACTGGATCTTCACTAGTACAAAGTATTTCCCCTTGCACTTTCATAATTAATATATTTCCCTAGCTGCACACAACTCACCATGAGACCTCATTCTCTGTTTAAATGGCTGTATTGTAAAAGTCAGTGCTTTACAAGATATTTGTGATTGTTTATAGGATATTTAGGAAGGAACCTCACAAGGATGTTTACATTTCAGAGCTTTCTTCCCTGTGCTTTTTTTTTAATCAATAACTTATATTTAGCAAAGTCTAAAAAAGTTTCTGTATAGTAGAATGAAATGCAAAGTTATCTTTTCAGTAGGAATGAGCTTGAATACCTGTATAAATATTTATATATGTGTGCGTATGCATGTATAACCATATATGTATAAATAACAAAATTCATAGCTAAGTTTATTGCAGTATGGGTGTTTTATTTAAAGGAAAATAACTTCATTTAGCTTGCCTTTATATCACTTGAGCAGAACTGGTGCTATTGATTTTTATGACACATTTTGCATGTCATTCTAAAAGATAATAAATGTCTATTTTAAGTTCTAACTGTAAAATAGTAGCACAGAAGCTAAATTTGGAAATAATAGTTCTGTAATTTTATTCCTTGAGGCAAATGAGAACAACTTTGAAAACAATTTTTCAATATTTTCATCTACTTGCAGCATTTGCTTACTGCCACATGTAACATTTATAATTAGTAGTATATTTACTGGTGTAAATACACCAGTAATGAAAGAGATTGTTTTAATAACCTAATTAATATTTTTTAATATAGGTAAAGCCAAGTTTTTGCTCTAACCCTGTTGTGTTTTTAGTATGTGCTGCAAGCTTGGATTCAATCCTGCTTTTACAAAGTGAGATGTTGTTTGTATTGCTAAATAACTAAGTAGTGACATGTCACTACTAAACATATTCACATGAATATAGGATTAGCAGTGTAGTGATCTTAGATTCATAGAATGGTTTGGGTTGGAAGGAACCTTAAAGGTCATCCAGTTCCAACCCCCCTACCATGGGCAGGGACACCTTCGACTAGACCAGGTTGCTCAAAGCCCCGTCCAGCCTGGCCTTGAACACTGCCAGGGAGGGGGCAGCCACAGCTTCTCTGGGCAACCTGTGCCAGTGTCTCCCCACTCTTGCAGTAAAGAATTTTTTCCTTCCGTTCAATCTAAATTGACCATGTTTCAGTTTACAACCATTGCCCCTTGTCCTGTCACTATGGGCCTTTATAAAAAGTCTCTTTCCATCTTTCTTATAAACCCACTTTATATATTGAAAGGCTGCAATAATGTCTTCCCAGAGCCTTCTGTTCCACAGGCTGAACAATCCCAAGTCTTGATGTACGGTTTTCTTCATTTCTGTTCTGTTCACTGAGGTGGTCTTTTCCAGACCAAAATGATTTCTTTCCTCTTGGGGACAATTCAAAAGCAGCATTAAGGGTTTTAATGTGGTCTAAAGTTTGTATGTCTTGTAAAATAGTAATTTTAAACAACAGTAGAAATACTTTTACACTCCCACTGGGTAAAGAGATCAGAATTTTTTTTTTCTTTTTTTCCTGTGCAGAAAGCTTCTGATATAAATAAATCAGTCTCAGTATCTTGTTTTAAATGCTAGGTGCAAGCAGTGTTCAACTCCAAAGCCTATTAAGAGTCTGAGTTCCATTGCAGCAGAACAACGACCATCATGGGAACCAACTGAAATAGCTCAAGGTCAGCTGATGTGATAGTATCCTGAAATACTCTCATGCCTTGATTCTGAAGTGTTTATATGAAATAGTTTGGTGTCTGGGTTGCAGTTTTATACCAAAAGCATGTAATTTATGGTTATGCTTGAGTATGAAGCTCAAATTTAGTCACATTTTACCAGTTGAAAGAATGGATTTACTTTTGAAACCATTACAGTATGAATGAAAGGATTTTTATGCTGAATAGTTTCTTCTATCATAGGTGTCACTAATAACACCTATCATAGTGCAGATGTGATGAATTTTTGATTGCAAATGTCATTTTTAAACTGTGTAGATGCTTGCAGTCCTAGAAATTTGTACTGCTTTTCTTTTTGAAGATAGCATTTTTCTGACCTGAACTAGAAAGTCTTATTTAATGACTAGTACAAGTTAGACTTTTATAGTCTGTAAGCCTTATCAATGCTAAGCATATTCCAGAGAGTCTTCAAGAAATAATATTCAAATGAAAGAAATTATACTATAACACATACGTCCATGTTTTGTGTGTTCTTTGTGTTACTTTATGTAGTCGACATGTGCAAATGCTGGAGGTAAAATGAAGCTTAAAACATCACAGCCCATTAAGAAGAATAATATTTTCATGTTTATCAATTTGTGTTCTAACATATTAAGTTGAAATATCTAGCAGTATCTAAGCTTAGTAAAGACTTTATAGAAGAAAAACCTATTTGAGCAATGCAGTGGTTCCCTTAAATAACCTATGTCATAATTGTATTATATTAAATAACTGTAAATATATAACCATCAGTGTTAGAGCACCTGCAATTGATATTTAATTCTCAAAATTTAAATAATACTCATTAAATGTTTTTTTGGCATTTAAACTATTTTATGTATATTATCCTTTTATCATTATATTTTCAGACTAAGTGATAACCTGCAAGTTTATCAGATCGGTTGAATTTGAAATGATATAGCCAATTTAAGTAGATGTACCCAGAAAAGACTGATGAAGAGTTTCAGTAACTTAGTATGTTTAAGATAATTTATGTTTGCGAGATAGCGTACTGCTGCCAGTGAGAGAATGACTGTAGCCGTTTACTAATGCTGGAATATGTTCAGAACAGCCAGCAAAGTTTTTCTGAATGAGATTGCCTGGTAGCTTTTACTACATCATATGAATTTTTTTTTTTTCCTCAGAAGATAGGTTTTCAGGTGGAATGCTATATTATTATCACTGAATTAAGAGCATGTCTCCTTTAATCCTCCATGGATTAAAGAACAGGAGTAGGAGGATCCTACCAAGGTAGGATCCAAGCTCTAAGCAAGTATTACCGTTTATTTTACTAGGATGAGAGTAAGTACTTGAAAATCTTTCTGCATTTTTATAGACTCATTTATTAAAGTGTTTCTAGGCAGTTTGCAGTGCGCTCAGAAAATACGAACCACATTTTGCTGTTCATATAATCTATTTTTTGGCCTGTCAATTTATACTTTTAATGACAGTATTCAAAGTCAGTTACTATTAAAGGAAGGTTATTGTCAGCTTGAGTTATGGTTTGTCTTGCCTATTCACTCTAAGAAACAGATCAATTTGTTTTCTTCAGTTCTAGGTATTGAGCTGCTCCAGTATGTTTTTATTATGAAGTTTACACTGATTGATGGAACAGGAGCATTAAACGCATACCTTTTTGATTATGTAAGTAAATCTAGGTAGAGGTAGACTCCATAGATTATGTGGGTTTGGATTTTATTTGTTTTTAAAATAACATAAGTATATACAGAAATATTCATTCTATGTTACCTGCAGTGTTTTGCAGGGACAGTTGCAAGTGCTGTAATGTTATTAATACTGTCCATCAGTGAAGATGAACAGAATGTAATTTTTGTAATTTTTCAATAAAATGTCAGACTGTAGAATATTAAAGCATAAAGACAAAACTGAAGCTTGTAGATAGATTATTTGGTATTTCATAGGCTTTTATACATTTCCATGGGTGAATTTCTCTTTTATTGGCAATGTTAAACTGTGCAGCCTAAATACTTTGTGTATGGTGGGAGTGTTTCAGGATTTATGCAGGTAACTTCTGGATTAGTTCAAAATCTCATCACCTCTTTTTTTAACTCTAAGTAGAATCTATCCATTCAGTAAATCTTGATCCATTTGTTTCATATGACCATGAGGTAGAAGAAGCCTTCCTTCCCCTGAACCTAGGCAGGACTCAGCTATAGCTATACAGATACTTGTCTGCTTTCAGAACCAGTTTATTCAACTACTTTTCTAACCTTAGAATTAACCTATCTTCAGTTTTCTCTGAAGCAATTTAAGACCACTTCTGCTACCCAAGATACTGAAGAACAGATGATTTTCCTGTCTCTACACACTGTATAATGAATTTACCTTCTGAAGGCTAAAAACCCACCATTCATTCTATCTTCTTCCACATAAGAGGCTTTTTCTTCTGTATCAGAGTTCTTTGAAAACTGCCCATCCTCACTGTTGTTCATCTGAATTCTTCCCAGGCGATCCACATGTTCCCTGAAGTGCTAAAACCAGTATCCTAGAATCAGGCATTGCCAGATAATGCTTCTATATATATAAACTAGTATTGCTTACTGAATCACTTATCCCTGAGTGGAACCTCAGCTTCAACAAATTACTCCTCATTCTTTGAGCAGTTGATTTAGCTTGCCTAAAAGCAGTATTTTATACATGTATCTGGTAGAAAGTGTTGGAGGAATTGGGTTTTTTTGTCCTACTAGCTCTCAGGTTGTCAAAAATTAATTCTAATTCTTCATTCCTGTTTACTTGCAATTCCTCCATCCTGGCTTTGTCTGTAAACATAGTGGTATTCCATAAAGCATGTCACTAATAAAAAATTTTCAAAATCACCAGGCTTAGAACATTTGACAGTAAACTCAGATTACTCTTCAGTATTTTTTAATTTCTTTCCTTTTTACTCTTAATTCATAAGCTTTATTTTTAGGTTAGCAGTTCAATGCACAAAGATGACTTAAGTAAGAATTTTTTGTGATGCTGAAGGTGGAAGATTTCTGGCTGACAAGAGCTGGTCATTGCTTCCTACGTCTCCAATTTAGGGCTGAAAATAAATTATATACATCTAGTATCCTCCTCAGTGAATTTACTCCATTAAATGTATTTATGGGTGCAGTAGAAATATCTGTTGCTATTTATTTTATTTTTTTTTTCCTTTTGTTTTACATTTTGGGGGTTTTGCTTTTGCTTGTTTTGTTTTGTACACATGTATAAATACATAGATTTTAGTTACTACTTTAAATTTTGAGATGGTACGTCAATCATTTTGAGAAGGGAAAATAATTAAAAAGTGAAAAGAACTTGGTAAAGAAGAGAATTATAATCTAAAATAGTATTACATTGTACCTTTTGTCCTTCTATACATGCATTTGTGTGTTTTCTTATCGCAGCAGTTCATAGGTGGGAATATCGGGACCTCACAGTACATGTTTGGAGTAATCTATCTACCCAAGTGGAAAATAGTCAGTGTAGTGGCACTTCAGAGTTACAACTTTGTACAAAATGAGACAGAGAAACAGTTTAATGGAATTTTTTTTCCCCACAGCAGTGCTCTTTAATGGAGGTATATCTGCATATTTTCCACCATTGTACTAAATTATTTCGAATGGGACTTTGAAGGGAATACACTTCCTTGTTAAATTTCCAGACTGGAAGTAAAAATAATACTGGAAAAAAATGTGTTTTCTTAAAATACACAGTGTGTTAGCAGCAAAGGACATCAAAGACTGCAATCCTCATTTTAGCTAGTCATTTCCTTCTACTGTCCTTTTTCCTTTTTTATATTGAGGAACTAAACTGCAAAAGGAAGGTGGGGAAAAAATTTTAAACAATTTCGTGATGCAAAATTCCAAAAGTCTCTACTTTATGGTAGGTCAGATTCTTATCAGATACTGCTCTGTACTGCACCTTAGCTGCAGGAAAAAAAAACACAACAACTTTTGAAATTCCAGCTACTAGCATTCCTGTTGGTGGTACTTCAAAGACAAGCCAGTATCTTCCAAGCCTGAAATCAGGTCCTTCAGCACCACCTGAGAAGGAACTAGGCTACTCTGAAATCCAACTTTACACTAGCTTCCAGTCACACTTCATAGGAATGCTCCCAGTTGTAGTTACCTGTGTCAGTTTTGCTGCTGGATTAACCACTAACTGATCACTTCCATTAAACATGTCATACAAAAATTATACAAAGGCAGAGTGTTCTGATTTGTATCTTTTAAAAAAAAGGAGAAATTGCCATCAGAAACTTTAGCTCACTTTGAAAAGGTGTAAAATGATGAGCCTTTAGAGATACAAAATCGGGTAACAAACTTGGAAAGAATAAAATGGAAGTTTTGTCAGTCACGTTTACTGAATATGGTTTAAAAATACACAGAAAAGGTTTATTTAACATTTTAGTGTTCCATTCTTATTTTTCTGAATGGAGGAGTAAAATAATCTCACAGTATAAACCTTTCTCCATTTTTTCTAAAACTCTCAAAAAATGAAACTCAAACAAAGGGAGTTCCGCTTGTGTAAAGCTAGGTTGCAGTGCCCCCTTGTTTTCAAGTGACTTTGCTCTCAAAATGTTGTGCTTACTGCGATGAGGGACTGCTGAGGAGGACTGACCATTCTCTCTGGCCATAATATTGTCTGGTTATGGAGACATGTGAGGAATATCTGCCAGTTGTGTATACAGACCTACATGTGTGTTTTCTGGGAGGTTGTAGTCCCTGAATACTCGGGGGTACTGAAATACAGACTGTTATTTTTTTAGTTCAGACAGTTTGGGTGTTTTTTCTGTATCTGAACAGTTTTAGAAATGATGTTGTTCTTCAGTTGTGTTACCTATGGCTAATTTTAACTTCCGTAAATGATAAATGAACATGGTCAGGGTTCTGGCTAATGATTTCTTACCCCTTTTCAAACACCTCATACTTTTCTGTTCTCTTCCAGGAAAAGTTCTTCCAAATTCCTGCCTCTGAAATCTTAAGTAATAATTTTCTTCAGCACAAGATGCAAATGACCATGAATACACTCTGTCCTCCGGGAGGAAAATTAGGTCAGTTCGCTATTATTTTAAAAGGAGGATGGGAAGAGAAAGGGTCTTTCAATCTGCTATTGCATATGCAAAGTCTTAGAATTCAGTTTATGCATGGGCAAAACTCAGAAATGCAGGAATCTATAAGGAGAGTTCCAATTAATTTGTTCTAATACATTTATTTAATAGAACTCCCTTTTGAGAAAGAAAAGTAATGGTTCAATAAATTCTTATGTAGCATGCAGTCATATGTGAATACAGTCCTAACATGTCATTTGTATTCATGTGGAAGTTAACCAGAACACCCTCATACTGAATGTCACAGCACATTAAGAAAAACTGAAAGGGAATTCAGTGTATGGCACGTGCTTTGGGTGAGATTCTACTTTTGAATGCACATGCTGATTTAGAGCATCCCTTGCTAGAGGAAACATCCATGGAAATTGAGCAAAAACTTAACCCAAATCCAGTCATAGAGGTTTCTGTGCAGTATTTCTGTTATGGCAGAAAGTAGCTCTGCCTAAACGACACATCTAAGGTAGCTGTATGTCTCAGCCACATCTCCGACCTCCAGAGCATGTTCCCTCTAAGTACATGGCTGTCAGTGACCACCACAACCACACTGGAGTTTTTACCATACTTTAAAAAAGTGGCCCTGTTGTAAAGGGTGTAAAGGATGTTCCCTTTGAGACCAATGAAATTGTGTCATTGAGACACACGGAGATGAGTTTTTATTATTGGAAAGTCCTTATATGTGCTATGCTGTGGTACAACTACTGTTACCAAGTTTTGGGGGTACACTGGGGCAAGGAGGCTGAGACTTGGAAGATTTTCACTGAACACCATTTCAGATGGTGCAGGAAATTTTAACATACAAATTAGAATTTCAAAATTTTTCTTCCTATTAACTGTGGTGTACATTTATATATCCTAATTAAGATCCTGCTCAACTTATACTTCTCTCCTATAAAAGTTAGAAATTAATATTAAAAAATAATTTGGGTTTTGTTTTTAGATGACTTGCCATGGCTGGAATGCTTCATCAAATCTTATAATGTCAGAGATGGGATGAAACATCAAGTTTATTACCAAATTTTTGACACTACAGTTGCTGAAGATGTATAGTGATGTGTTGCTAACAGGAAGTGATTCAGTAAGAATCCAGTTTTGCGGGGTTTTGGGATCAGAGACTGTATTTAAAAAAATCTTTGTTCCTTTCTTAGGAATTCAACCTGTATGTATAAAGTTTTAGTTTGTCTATTAATGTGAATGGGAATTATGCTTTGATGTATTTACTGCTTTCCTAGCATATACAGCCTTATGATCTGAGTGCAGGTGCAGATGCTAAGCTTTTCACTGGAGGCTGCTTGGCTCAGGCTGATAGATGCAAGCTAGTACCTATCTGTCATTCAAAAAGTCAGTAATGAGGTTACACTAAACTCATGAGTTTTGCTCAGAAAATATAGTCAGAATGATGCTGCTTTATTAATTCTATATTAAAGTAAATGATGTATGTCAGCAGAGATAGGGAAAAGCAGCTCTTGAATAAACTTTTTCTCAGACCACTTTGTGCAAGCATATGTTACTGTTCTCAGCCAGTTTGACTGGGAGGTTGTCTGATTTTAGAGATTCATTTGATTTTGCTCTGATACGTACATTTAGGCAGAACTCTTCCTGTTAATCATACTAAGGTAACTGTTATGAGTACCAGTTACTATAGGTTTTGATGGCATTACAAGTGTGAACGTGTAACGATTATCACTAAAGTTAAAGTCAAGCGGTGAAAGTAAGGTAGCATAAAATTGATACTGACATTTGCTAGATTGTAATGATTTTTAAAGTGGCCCTGTAGGGTACCAAAGTTATTAGCACACTTAATATGTGGGTCTGTGTTTTCAAAGGCTCTCATTATCTGGCTAAATTTACTGTCAGGTTACACTGCCCAGATCTGATGTTTCTGTCTTACATAATCAGGTTGTATGACTAAATTTAGAGATAAAGAACTGATCTAGTGATACCATGGCTTGAAAATACTGCTGGGCTAGAAAAATTACTAGTGGTTTTACTTTGCATTCAGAAGTCTGTAGAACAAAGTCAGGACATGTTTCTCCAATGATAATTAATGTAGAAATTCCTGTCTGACCAAATGCTTTACATCAGAGCAAAATTACTTAATATTTACAGCAGCTGTTTTTTTAAGCAAGTTCAGAAATAAGATGAAATACTTGTACACAGATTACTATTTTGATAGTAGACGACAATTTTTTTTTAAATTTTTCAGGGCTGCATAGTAGATTGTACAATTTGTCATTTAAAGTTTCATCTAAATATCGTCTGACAATTTTCTAGTACTCTAAAAAATTATACTGGGTGTTTATGTCATAAAGCAGGAGATTATGTTCTTTATTGATCAGTATATAGGGAGAACCAATATTAAAAATGGTTAGTGGAAGTTTCCTTTTAAAAGTAGGAAAAAATCAACTTTGGAATTGATCAAGCAGTTTACCAAAGAGCAGTACTGGCTTATGAAAGTTTGTCTGAATCTGTGAATAACACAGAAGTGAAAAATAGTTCTAACAAGTTATTAAATGGCTATTATAAAACTTTAGACACTGGTCATATCCAATTATTTCAGAAGTTAGGGGTTAAATTGAAGGCAATGTTATTTAATTTTCTTGTATATAGTATATAAAAACTCTGGAAGGAAATGGTTTTAGTTTTAGATTTTTTCTTAACAACTCTGATAATGATATTGTACATTTTTTTTAAGTAAGTCTTTGTAAAGTAATGGATTAGAATGTTTTGAACTTCAGTGTAAACTAAATCAATTTCACCACATCCCTGCTTTGAGGTCCCTGCCAGAAAACCCTGCATATACACCACTTGATATTTCTACTGTTGGATATTGTATTAAAATGTTGAATAAATATTGTTTAAAATATTGAGGGTCTTTTGTATTTGACTTTTAGTTCATAAGACTGTGAAAACTTTGTCATCAGTAGCCTTCATCCAAGAAAATGCTCCAGATGAATGTTTGTATAGTTTGTTGGATTGAAGCATACATGTTTAATTCTCAACATAATTTATAGAAATAATTATTAATAAAAATTATGTATTTGGCAATACTAGAAATAACTGTAAAAAGGAGTTAGTGCACAGACACTGAAAATGTTTGTGTCTCATTGTAGCCTTTATATGGAACAATGGAAGTCATGGAGATGGGACTCGGATCTTTAATTACTTAATTACTTATCCTGATCAGTTCTGAGGCCTTTGAATAACTGACTGATGGATGGAAATCTTGAGATTGCAGTGTCCTGAATTTACAGCACTGACTCATTTCTGAAAGATGAGCATCTCAGGCAGCAGTGACTTTTAGCCATTACTAGCAACCTCCTTAATAGAAATAAAAGTCACATTTTCCTTGATCAGTTTCTTAACCAGGTATGTGATTTAAGTTTCTAAAACATTAATAAAAGGTCAGATATCTGTTTTAGTGGTTAAAAAGATTACTGGAATAGATCATAATATATTTAAAGACACTCACAAGTTGAAACAATAGTGGATCAGGTTGACATTGGTACACTCAGAACCAGTGAAAACTCCAGGCATGTCCTCTTGGTATCTCATCATCTTCCTCCATCCCCATACATCCCAACATACAGGTAACTGCATCAAAACATCAGCTTCTTGCTAGAAATGTGGACTAAATGGCAAATATGCTTGGAATGTGAAGTATATAACGCACAGCAGCAGCATCACAGGCAAGGGCAAAGAATAATCTGACTGTAAAGGAGGAGCTATCGGAGAAAATAATAAAAATGTAAAAGAATAATATAGGAACATGAACACATCATCATCCCCCCC